AAAAAAAAAATTATAAAATAGGTATTACATAGTATTCAACATATAGAATGCTTTTATTTTAGCTTAGAAAGTGGGGGTATGGCCTAATAAAATTTTGAGTAATAGGTCTTTAAAAATTTAAGCATACAAATATGTACGCTATACGGTTTAAGGGATAGGTCTTGTACTTTGCTGAGAAGGGTTAATGGGTACCGGGCTTGAGATCTCGAATCTGAAACTGGTACTAAGATAAGTACCAGTTTATATTTTCTTTGCTTTTTTATTTTTTTTTGCTGTTGCTAACTTTTCTTTCTCTTTTGTAGGTTATGCTTCACCAGGAAGGATTAATGGGCAGATCTCAAACCTGGAACTAGTACTAAGATAAGTACTAGTTCGTATTTTCTTTGCTTTTTTATTTTTTTTTTTTGCTGTTGCTAACTTTTTTTTCTTTTTTGTAGGTCTTGTACTTTGCCAGGAAGGATTAATGGGCACTGGGCTTGAGATCTCAAACCTGGAACTGGTACCAAGATAAGTACCAGTTCATATTTCTTTGCTTTTTTATTTTTTTTTGCTGTTGCTAACTTTTCTTTCTCTTTTGTAGGTCATGCTTCACCGGGAAGGATTAATAGGCAGATCTCGAACCTGGAACTGGTACAAAGATAAGTACTAGTTTGTATTTTCTTTGCTTTTTCAATTTTTTTTTTGCTGTTGCTAACTTTTTTTTCTTTCTTGTAGGTCTTGTACTTCTACAGGAAGGGTTAATAGACACCAGTTTGAGATCTCAAACTTGGAACTAGTACCAAGATAAGTACCAGTTCATATTTTCTTTGCTTTTTCATTTTTTTTTTTGCTATTGCTAACTTTTTTTTCTTTTTTGTAGGTTTTGTATTTTACTAGAAAAAGTTAATGGGTACTAGACTTGAAATCTCAAACCTGGAACTAGTACCAAGATAAGTACCAGTTCATATTTTCTTTGCTTTTTCATTTTTTTTTGCTATTGCTGACTTTTTTTTCTTTCTTGTAGGTCTTGTACTTTGCAGGAAAAGGTTAATAGACACTGGGCTTAAGATTTCGAACCTGAAACTGGTACCAAGATAAGTATCAGTTCATTTTTTTTGCTTTTTCTTTTGTTTGCTAGCAAAAAAGATGAAAGATTGGAAGTTGTAAGAAATATATAATAGTTTAAAAAATTAAATATGAAAAAATTTTTTTAATAAAATAAAGTTTTTAATAAATAAAAATTACGTATTTATTATTTTATTTTATATAAGTATTATATATCAATTTTAATCAAGATCGATTATTATTATTTTTAAATTAACCAAATATATATATCAATTATTATCACAATCAATATAACCCAACAGGCAGGATTAATATCAAAATATATCTATTATGGTTAGTAATCAATATATATTGGTCTATGTTTTTTGCGATAAAGGAGAGATTACAAGAATACTTACTTTGATGAATAGAGGTACTTTTAGGAGATATTCTCGAAACTTATATTAAAGCCCAAGCCTGAATTAAGAAGTCACAGCAATTGCAAAAAGTTCAACATGATTTCTGTTTTGTTCTCCAGAGTTATTTTATTGAGGATCAAGTCTTCGTTATCGATCTGAGCTTGAAGGCACCCACAAAGACAAATTGGATAAGAAATAGAAAGGTTCTTTCTACGTTTATGACATCCTGAAAAATGGTGTTTACAAATTGCAAACTATGGATGATAAATTTCTCAAACAAAAAGTACATGGTAATCGGCTTAAAATATACCAGCCAGCCCTCAGAGGTGATTCAGAACCAGATCGATCTTCACAGAAGCTTGATAAATAAGAAAGGGAGTCTGTTACCATTAAAAATTTTTTTTAATTTTGCGCCCCAACTGTGTAGAAGATTCTAGCGCATACTTTTTTTTTTTTTTTGTGTTTATTGATATTATTATTCATGTTATTATTGTTAGCTTATCCATATTACTTATTAGCTTTATCGCATATTATTATCATTGCTATTATTACTTTTCTTGTTATAGCTATATTTGTATTATTAGTATTCTATATTTAGTTAGTCTATTCTATGATTATCATCATCTTATTATTTATAGTAAGATCGCTGTACTCTGGTAAATGTTTAAGTGTAGATCTGCACTATTCCATTTTTAACCTGTAATAGATTAATTAATGTTATTTCCTAGTTGGTTTGACTATCGATTTCTATAATAGTCAAACAACACATTGAACGTATTGTAGGGTAAGATGTTGTGATGAGTTTAATGTAAACATGATGCATGTTTGTTGAAGGTGTCAAGAAGCCAAATCTTGTTATGGGAATGTTTCAATGAACTCATTGAGGCAAGGCATAGCTGTTATTTATCTCAGGTGTTTATTATCATTGAGCGATAAAGAAATTGGCGTTGAAAAGGATAAAACCATGGAGGAAGGAAATACCGATGGTAACCTTGGGTAAATAGTCTGTATGATTTTTACATGTATTTAAAGACCCGTTATTTGCTTGAATAAAATTTTCTCAGACTTCGATCTCCCTGACATTTGAATAAACGGTTTTATATTGAATTTTCCCTTGTGTTATTGTATTATCGTGAATACATCTTCACGGTATTGTTAGTATTGTACATCCCGATATCTATATCGTGAATACATCTTCACGATCATATTTATCTCTTTATTATATCTTATAATTATTATAATAATCTTACATCACATACATTCGAGGACATTGACGTCCGTGAGCTTACATAAACTTTTAGACAGTCACCTATTGTTGTCCCTATCTTACGTTATTTTATCTTTCGTTCACTATCGCTGATCTAAACTTGGCCCTTACTGACGCTCTCCCAAAATTACGATAGTAACACCGGGTTCAATCACTAATCCGATCAGGATAAATATCCAAGTCATCTTTTGATAAATCAATTTCTTATAATTTTATGTATGTCAACATTCAGGCTATTAATTTCTTCTTGATGTATCCATTTAAATTATTTATTCATAATTATTAGATGTCAGATCTAAACAATTTTTTAATTACAATATATCAATAATGTGTTGACTTTTTAATTACAATAAATTTATAATATAAGAACTATATTGGTTTTTATAATAGTAATTAATCGTTACAAACAACTAATACACACAATGTCAAGATTTATTAGAGATTATTGCCTCTCTTTATTCTCTTCAAATTTACACAATCAAAATAATTGATTTGCTGATAATAGCAATAAATACAGTCCTTTAGCATTCAAATAATCAAACCGACATCTACTTTAGTATTGTATATGTAATTTATATTTGGTTTTATACATGTTCTACCGTTCATTTTTCATATCAAATGATGGATTTTTTGCAATAGGCTAACACAACACTTCCTAAATATTCTGATTTCAATTCTATATGCAATAATCAACGAGTTATTATGTGTACTTCACCTAAATGAATATGTATATACGGTCACAATAATATCGAATTACTATATTTTATGCCTATATATGATCTTTTGTCTGAATATAAATAATCCCAGCTGAAGGATTTTTGGTATTTTGTGTGGTATCGTACCCTCATACGGTGGTATTAAAGCAGCTAAAAGATTTCATGATAACGCAATTAAACGTGTATTAAGATTGCCAGCAAATTTTTTTGATATCACTCCTCTAGGAAGAATTATTGTCATATCTAACTTATCGTTGAACATCTTATTTTTAATATTTCCGAATCCAAATTCATTTGATACCAGATTCAGTAAAGATGTCGACACATGCGATAATTTACTTTCTGAATCATATCGAATGTTTTTTATGAGCATTTCGAACATTATTGGAACTTTTATTCTAATTATAGTAGTTTTTGTGTGGTTCATTATCCCATTGGTTCCTTTTTTTTTATTTAATTTTTTTTTTTATTCGATTTTTTTTATTCGATCTCTGTTAATTTTTTTGATTTAGTTTT